AAAAAAAAATCCATGAAAAATATTAACTTGATGTTCTGAAATAGAAAAGTAGATTTGTAAGATTTTATTTGTTAAAAAAATTTAACTCATTCAAAGTCAACCAAATGTGAATTATATGCAACAGTCTTCACAAGATACACATGAAATATTCCTCCCTGCCTCCCCTCCTGTCTCTCTCACTCATCTTCTAGCAAGTGGCCTTTATTCATGCTTTAGCCTGTATCTCTGTCTTCTGTGACTCATCCTCACCCCACTCCTCTGCTCTCTGGACTCATTGAGGCTCTCTCTCAGCTCATCAGGGAGATGTTGATAGGTTCTGGGAATGTGTCCAAAGCTGTGGATCTGAACTTACCAGCCTCAAGCCTGGATTTCATCCGGAATTTTAATACCTCCCCATCCATCCTGCTGACGAGGCATGTCTCCTGAGTATCCCAATATCCCTTGCAACTCCTGATCTATCCAATGCAGCCCATCAACTGGCTGGGCATTGACAGTCTCTTCTAAACTAGTGTAAGCCAGGCAGTAAGCCAGAGTAACCCAGTGACTATGAGGGAGGGAGAGGAAAGCGAGGAAGGCAACTGGAAGCTATCAGATGAGAATGAAGAGAGCAGAGAATGCCAGGATGCACTGAAATGCTTAGTGCAAGGGGCAGAGGGACCGTTGTTCAGGAAAATGGGGAAAGGGCATAGTTGGGGGTTATATGAAGACACTGCTTCCTCAACAAAGCATAGATAGAGGGTGATAGCCCAGAGACACCCGGGAAAGGAAAGGCATAAAGAAATTGGCAGTCAGATAATATTCTCATTTGCTATTTTTCCTTTATATCTATTACAGAAATTTCGACCTTGGCAGCAAAAGCTTGAAACCTTCAGATTCTCATTGTACAGCTTCCAAGCCCTACATGGATTTGAGCAGTCCAGTATAGTGTGGTTGTAGAAAAACCCATCTGGAAGACAAAAGCATTCATATTTAGTGCCGGAAAGCAACACTTGGGGCTCCATGCGAAAGAATCCCCCATACCCACACCCAGCCTGGTCTCCACAGTAGAAACGTGTACAGCTCCTGCAAAGGGCGACACTGGACTGTACAACAGCATTACCTCTTACGTTGAAAAAGTAGATGTCCCTGGTTCTGCATCCACCATCTTTCTCCATGGTACAGTTGCCCCTGCCTTGCACACACCTGCCATTCATGAATACACTGCAGACCATGCATAGCGTGGCTTGAGCTAGGGAGAGCAGACGAGAAAGCTAAGCCTAGCGGTGCGTGAACGGGGCACACTGTGGGCCGGAGTAGCTCAGGGATGAGGCACAGCCCCACGTGCTCTCATACTGACTCTAGGGCCATTTGTATTCTCATTAGATTCTTTCCTTTGGATATTAAGATACGGAATCTTTGGCTTAGGGGTCTGACAGTACATTAAATTGGTTCACACTTTTAATGTGTAAACTTATGGTATATTAATTATATCTCATAAAAACTGATTTTTTTAAATAAACAAATAAGCTCCAACAAGATAATATTTGCAGGCTGATAGGAAAAATACTAGGAGATGAGATGTTGTGCACAGAGATATGAAGAAGCAGGTCCAAGTTGAGATCTTGCACTTAAACAACACAGAGATGAGGCCTCCTTAAACTCCATTCCCTGGAGCTTAGTTCAATTTCCTGTACTACCAGTTCTGTACCTACACTCTCCTGAAACCGAGGGAAGAAATTCCTTCAACATGGTGCCTGCGTGCAGAACAATGACAGGGGTTCTGTGGACAACCAGCCTGGAAACAGTAGCCCTAAAAAAGGATGGTGGACAATGACTATGCTGACTTGAACATCAGGAGGAAAGGCTTGGTGTCTACATGTTTCCTAAAACCTTGCTAGAAGTTATCCAAAGAGCACACATCACTGAGCAAGGAGATGC